TACACTATCATGTGCTTGGAAGACGACGGCTTAGATCCTTCTCATTATGTTTCAGCACCTGGGATGTTTAATGATTCTCTATACAAAAGTAGCAGAGTAGAACTTAAGCTCATGACAGATATAGATGAGTATCTGTTAGTTGAAAATGAAATCAGTTGAGAAATGACAATGGCAAGTCATCGATATACTAAAGCAAATAATCTGCAATGTCTAGACTATGACTCTAGCAAGCTGAATTCCTGGATCATAGATGAGGATATGAATGCTTTATATTCAGGTGCAATGACTCAATACATACCTACAGAAATTTTAGGTAAAGTAATACTAGAGAAAATATCAGATATCCAAAATATAACGTCAGATGCAAAAATAGGCTATACACTAGAAGTTGATCTAGAAGCTCTAGTGCACTTACACGATTTCTTTACAAATTATCCTTTAGCACCAGAAAAGCAAATTGTACCAGAAAACTGGCTTAACTTGTATAATGAAAGATTAGTACGTGGTAAGGCAGTTGGAGATGGAAAATATGTATCTGAAGAGAAGTTACTTCAGACCCTTTATATTAAGAAGAATTATGTAGTTCACTATCGAGCTCTCCAGACTATACATGAAGTTGAAATGGATCATTTCGGATATCCAAAATGATCACAATGGTTGAAATCATTTCGACCATTGGAGGCTAAAGTCGCGAAATAGTCAAAATAACATCATATCACATGATTTTATATAGAAAAAACAAAAAAAACAAAAGATGTACAATCACAGTTAATATCACACCGATTCGTATAAAACAACTACCATTCGATTCCTCAAAACTAGGCGGATCCAATGAGCTAACATTCATTGATTTTAGATTATCCAATCACGAGATAATCGCAATTGTATTATCAGCCGAAATTATGAATCAATAAATTCTACTTTAAATAAAGGAGTCCAGATTTCGAAATATGATCGCAAATAACTTGAGACGGGCTGATCCAAAATCAAATAAAAAAAACTCTTTCTCCCAAACGTCCAGTTCACTAAAAAAGATTGACATAAAAAATAAAATAATAAAATAAAATTATGCCAGTTACTAGAGCGACTTCCTCGAAACTACAAACGAAAAATACTTATCAACAAAACAAACGAAATATCCCAGTTGACAACTCCAACACTTTAAACTCCTCTTCAAGAATAACCGAAACAAAAAAAAATAATATTTCCCAAAAAAAACAAAAAACTGCTTTACCTTCAAATGACAATGACATCGATCCAGAAATTGAAAAAATTATCATGAACGTTATATCAAAATCTAACGAAGAAACTTTATTAGAACATAATACTGACGACAACAACACTTCTGTTAATGACGTGCCCTTGGAAATGGATATTGACAATACTTCCACCAGCACTCCTCTCCAACCTTCTCTTCCAATACAAACTGC